AACAACAAACAAAAGTATCCATGGTGGCATTTCCTGGGCCCTGGTGATATGACTGCTTTTATTTAATATTTAAATTATTTAAGAACTGTGATAAAATGCCCACATTTGCAACTACCATGGCAGGGCGCTAAAGGTCCCAGAATTCTCCAGGGACCTGTTATCCCAAACTGACAAAATGACTTGAGTAAAACAACAGCCAAAGCCCCAGAGCTGTGTATAAAGCTGTTAGAAAGTCCCAAGTGTTAGAGCTGGTGTGGGCAGACCAATGGGATGAAACCCCCAGTCACGACAAGGATGGAAAAAATGGCAGCAGAGCCCTTCCCTAAGTGCTGTGGCTGCTTGGCTACAATCATTCTCAATTCTTGTTTTATATTGAAGTCCCATGGGAAATTCCTTCCAAACACTGAGTCTTCTCCTCCCCCACTCAACTCCACTCCCCACCTTGGTCCACTCTTCACCTCCCTCCCTCATCCCTCATCCTATCATCTCCCCATTGGCTGATATGAGTGGTCTGGCCAGGATCCAAGCACTGACCGAGGACCATTGCTTAGGGTGTTTGCTCTGCCCAGCAAACACCCCTTTCAAAAGCAGTGTGATTGCAGTGTGATTGACCACCGAGGAAGAAAATAATTCACAGAACATTTTTTTAATCCTCTATTTATACATGTTGTGAGATTAATAATGTAAGGATTGGGTTCAGACTCAAGACTTTGTAGGAAAATGTGTTGACAATTAAAACCTCAGAGGGTCCTCAGTCGTGGTGATGTAAACCTTTAATCCCAGAACTCAGCAGGCAGGCAGATCTCTGTGAGTTCTAGGTTAGCCTGGTCTATGTAGTGAGTTCCAGGGCAGCCTGGGCTACAGAGTGAGACCCTGTCACACAAAAAAAGAGGAATCTTAAAGGGTGAAGGTAAAGGTGGACTAGCTCTGTACCCCAGAACAATTGTGCTGCATTTGAGTTGAGAGAACGTTGAGGCCAGAGGAAGCCTCCTCTCCTGGATCATGTTCAAGAGGATTCTGGGAAGTTCTTTTAGGAAGGGCTGCCAAATAGAACCTGGTGTCCTGATAGGCTCCAACTGGAAGGGCAAAAGTGCCCCCCAAAGGCAGGGTAACCACCACTCGAGGCTACTCCTGTAGAGACTTCCACTCAAGTGGCTGCTCCTTGCCCAGCCTGAAAGGCAGGAGACAGGGAGGGGAAGGGCAGTGTATGTGGACAGAGCAGTGCTTGTTGCAGAGTAGCCCCATGCATCCACGCAAGCACTCACAGCTGTGTCAGAAGCACCATTCTTTTATGGAGTAAGCATGTTCCCACCTCACTCACAAAACCGCACCCCCCCACTTTCCTATGAAAGATGTTCCCCCAACAAGCCGTATCTAAAGTAAGGATGGTCTTTTGTTCTCTACAACAGGTATGGGGTCCACATCACACATCCTGCCCTTGAGCAGGGTGAGTTGATGGCACAGTTGACAAACCGAGATTCGGCTAGAGAAATCAGTTGGGGAGCATGCAGGGGATTGGCTAGCTCACCCCCAGGTTCTGCACGCTAATGCAGGAGGAACCCCATCCCCGGCTCTGCAGCTTCGGATAATGGGACATGAACAGATCCCATTCTTCTAGACCTTCACAAAGACAAAAGCCTGAATCTTTGTACAAGGCAAATGATGTGTGTCCTGTGATTTGGAGACATAGTCCCCCAAAGCCCGTGCATCAAAGGTTTAATCCCCAGTATTGGGCACTGTTGGAGGAGATGGAACCTTTAAGGGGTGGAGCCTAGTGAGACCATTAGCTGCTGGGGTGTGTCTTGGGAGGGGGAATTGGGATCCCAGCCCCTTGTCTTCCTCTTTTGTGCCCTGTGGTGGTCAGAATGAGGAATGACCCCATAGTCTCAGTCATGTACTTGGACACTTGGTCCAGGGTCGGTGGTGTGTTGAGGAGGCTATGGAACGCTGCTGTGGAGCCTTGCTGGAGGAAGTACATCCCTGGGAGGCGGGCTTTGAGGGTTTATAACCTTACTCACTTCCAGGTGGCACTCTCAGCTTCCTGTATAATGAAATGTGATTAGTCAGCTTCCTGTCAGCCATAAGCCCAAATAAAGTTCCTCTGTAAGCAAGCACTTTACCAACTGAGCTATCCAAACTTTAAAAAATGTTTTTATCACATTTGATGTCTTTATTTTGTGTGTATGTGTCTGTTCGTGTGCATGTAGGTAAGTCTGTACATCATCACAGGAGCATGCCCATCAGAGACGTCTTGTAGGAGTCAGTTCTCTCTTTCTACTATGAGTCCCAGGGATGAAATTCTGGTCACCCAGCTTAGCAGCAGGCACCTTATCCATTGAGACATCTTGTTGGTTCCTTGATCTTTTCTCAATCCAGACATTCTACTCTTAGCCTCTCAACCCTGGTGGTAGAAATACTTTTTTTCTCTACTTTAACCCAAATGTGTCTTGTTTACCAAGCGTGGTTTGCCTCCTGGCTGGACCGTGGGCTTCAAGCCTTTTCCATGTAATACTCAGATCATGATTGCTAAAGATACAGGAAATCACCCTATAGAAAACCCCAGCAACTCTCATGGCAGCTGGGTGGAAGGGGTGAGTCATCTCCCTACTGGGACATCCTAGAGTATCCTATTTATGAATGGGGAATCAAATAACAGGGTCAGAGCAGTGTTTGAATTAGAAAATGATAAGGTCCAGCAAAGCCAACAATCCTCAGATAAGAGTACATGAATCAGGTCTCCGGACTGGAACGCTGTAATTTACAATCCAAAGGCCACAGAGGAACTTAGTAAAAATAACCAACCACAAAGCGTGCAAACTGATGTGAACTTTCCCAGGATGGTGAGGCACCAAGAGTTCATAACACCCCCCCCCCCCCCCCCCCCCAGGACCTGGTGTGGGGTGGTAGGGAACAATGTGCCAGGAATAAAGGGAAATTCCTGAGAGGATCTTTCAATTCCCCTCCATCCTTTGATGCAGGGAATTCTGCACACCCAGTGGGAACAGCTTTTTAACTCCAGGTATGCAGTACTGAGGCCTTTTGTCCTCTGCAGCCCCAGGGAAGGAGGGATGGAGGAAGGAGCCCTTCACCGCTCTGTGAGACCAAGGCCTGAACTGTGAGAATTAAGTTTTGCTTTCTTTCCAGTAAGAGCCACACATAAAACTCAAATACAGAAAAGAGCAATAAAGAATCTTTTAAAAAATCCTACAGTAATATTCTTGAGAATCACAAAAAAAATGAAATCACTACATAAGTAATTAGCATGTAAAAGCAGTCAGCACAAATTGACAGGGGCAGGGAACTGCAGTCACACACCCTGCATTACCACCACTTTTAACCATTAAGAACCACAGACAGGGGTTGGAGAGGTAGCTCAGTGGTTAAAAGCACTGACTGTTCTTGCAGAGGACCCAGGTTCGATTCCCAGCACCCACATGGTGGCTGTGAATCGTCCTTAACTCTAGTTCCAGGGGAATCCAAAGCCCTCTTCTGGCCTCTGTGGCATTGCACAGCACGGGTGCACTCACATACATGCAGGCAATGCACTCATACACATAAAATAAAAATTAAAAACATTAAAAAAAAGAACCAGAGACAGCATTTGTCCACCAGAGCCAGTCTACCTACCAAAAGGACACACACTTCAGCTCTCTAAGACTCAATTGCCTCCGTGTGTGTGCATGTGTGTGTGTGTACATGAGTGTGCACATGTACATGTGTGCATGTGGAGGCTAGTGGACAATTTTGGGTGTCATTCCTCAGGCATTGTCTACCAGGTTTTTTTAAAGGTTTTTTTTTTTTTTTTTTAAGAC